AAAGGAAAGGAAAGGAAAGGAAAGGAAAGGAAAGGAAAGGAAAGGAAAGGAAAAAGGTAATATTCAGAGGGATTTACGCCACATGCTCACCCTTTTTCTTACCTGTAGCTGCTAGAAGTGGACAAATCCTCCTTTATCTGTCTGTTGAGCGCGTCTGCAGCGGCTCTGCTTTTCTTCTGCTCTGCGCTCTGCACATCTGCCGGCATCTGTCCCTCCGTCTTCTCGCCATCCTTCCTCTCCGCCGACTTCTCCCGCCTCCCCCCTTTCTTCCCGGCTTCCTTGGACTCTTTCTCCTGCATCTTCTCCTCGATCTCGCTCTTCTCGACGCCGCTCTCGGCCTCGGCGGGTGCGCTGGCACCGGGTTTGGGGATCCACGGGTGGTCGTGCTTCTTGGGGATGGGCCAGGGCTTGTAGTCCTTCTGGTACTGCGTTACGTTGTTGAAGGGGGCCGGCGGCGGCTGGTACTCGTTCCGGGGCTTGCAGCTGGGCTCGGGGCGCACTCTCCACGCCTTGAAGTCTTGGCGCATGACGGACGCGGCGGAGCCATCTTGGCCCGCTGCGCCACCCGCCGCGGGCGGTGCCTCCGCAGCCTCCCGGCCGTCGGGATGCTGCGGCTGCGTTTCTATGGCAATGGCGCCGGCCCGCTTCTGCCTGGGCTGCGGGTGATGGGCCAGGCGCTGCACGTCGGCCACGTCGGAGTATTTGGTGAAAACCAAAGGCACCGCGATGTCCCCTTTATCCAGCTCGGTCCAGAAGCGGTTGATGCAGCACGCGCGGGTGATGCACGGCCACGCCATGGTGTTCAGATCTGCGAGGCCCGATTAAGAAATATGACAAATAATAACAAATATAAACCCCCCAATTCAGCTATATAAACGTCCTACTTACGCAGCGAAACCTCTCCGATTCGGCCAGGTCAGGGTTAATCCTCTATGGAGCAGTTCTGCTCAGCGGGGTCTGATCTTTACAGAGACTGATGGGAAAGGAGCCTGGACGCCTCCCTCTGTCTCCTCCTGCAGGGGGGACTGGGTCTCATAGAGGTTTTAATAGTTTAGGGCTCACAGAGAGCGCACATTGCTGTCTGGTTGCGCATCAAAGCGACCCCACCCACTCCGGTGTGATGCCCCGGCTATGCACTGTGTGTTTGGATGCTGAACCATCGTGGGCTCGTCAGCATCTGGCCAGCAAGGAGGGAGGAGACAGTCGTTAACCCCGTGCTGCCATGTCGAAAAGTTAAAACTACTACAGATCCGGCACAGAGCCACCAGTTCCTTTGGGTAAAATGGCTACAGGGGGAGGAAAAAAAAGCAAAAACAATCACGCTTTGTAACTTTGAAAACTGATTTTTCATGCTTTCCATCCTTTAATTCTTCTCACACTGAAGCAGATGGATAAACAAAATGAAAAAGAAAATGTTCAGTTTTGGAACTTATGTTCTGTCCTTTATATATAAAAAAGTGTTTTATTGAAGCAAACCATAACAGTATCTTTTAAAAAAATGTTTTATATCAAGTTGGTCCAATACAAAACAATTACTGCCACATGTAGTATATAAACAACACTCACACAAACATGTAACCATCCCGTCTACAGATGGGAAGTTCATTAGTTTCATTCAACCCATTTTGATGGTAAGTGCGTTGAAACCTGTCAAACAAGTCCAATTTTGGGCTTAAAAAAGCTTTAACCAAAAGCTCAGATTCAGAGATCCTGTGGACACATGGATGGAACCACTCCCATGTCTCCATTTGCCTCACTGTAGTTGGTGCTGGTCCAGTTTGATCAACAAGCTATCTGCCTCCATCATGTGGTCTGATTTTAAAAAACACTCACTGCAAAGGAGCAAAACGTCACCATGGAACAAAGCCGATCTCCCAAATTGAACAAATAGAAAAGAAAAATCTAAGAATACACATTTTAATAATAATAATAATCACAATGATAAGGAAATGATCCAGTAACAAAACGTGAAAGAACTTTCAACATTTACACAGCCTGTTCTTCATATCGTCTCGGCCTTTTGTTCAATTTATCTCCAAGAACAAAACCAGCTCATATCTCCATTAGAGAAGAGCTCATTTCTGTGTGGAGCTCACCATGCAGGCATCAGCCTTCCACCTTATTCTGCACATTCAAAGCCTTTCCATGGAGCAGATTCACTTTGTCCCGTCTTCCTCGGCCATGTCCTCGGCGTCGGGGTCGTCCTCCGGGTACAGCCGGCAGTATTTGTCCACCATCACGTCCAGGTCGTGCTTGACGTGCGTGTTGACGTGGAGCACGGCCAGGCTGCGGTTCCACTGCGGGGCGGGCGTGCGCTCCAGGTAGGCCCGCAGCCGCTCGCTGGCCGCCTCGCTGCGGCCGTCCTCCAGCTTGAGCACGGGCAGGGTGGACAGCACCTTCAGGAAGGAGTTGACGTTGGGGAAGAACTTGACGTCGGGCAGCTGCAGGGTCTCGTGGATGGTGGTGGGCAGGCGCACCTCCTTCCCCCGGTGCTTCCACTTGATCCTCCAGCAGTGCAGCTCGGCGGGCAGCGTGTCCGGGTTGGGCAGGTCGCCGCGGTACACCTCGGCGTAGCTCTCCTCCGTGGTGTTGAACTTCATCGTGCCCATGACGGCCGGCACCAGGGACAGGCACTTGAGCGCCTTCAGGTTGGTGTCGGAGAACATGTCCTCCACCTCCTGCATGATGCCGCGGATGACGGGGATGGTCACGTACTCCTTGTAGTACGGCTCGGCCTGGATCTCGCACATGTCGGCCGCCCGCTGCTTGCGCAGGAACAGCCTGGGGACGGACGCCGGCACCTCCATGGCGGCCGCCACCGTCACCGCCTCCTCGTACCAGAACTCGTGGTAGACGTCGATGTTGTCGTTGACCTCGTTCAGCGAGTGCAGGACGGCCGTCAGGCTGTTGGCGGCCGAGAACACGGCCAGCGTCTCGCCCTGGAGGTTCTTCCCGAAGGCCCGGGTGAAGGTGAGCACGTTCTTCAGGATGACGATGGTGACGACGATCTCGAAGTCGGCGAGGATCTCCGCGAGCGAGTAGGCGTCGGCCGCCACGGCGCCGCCGAAGCGCCCGCCGCCACGCTCCCAGATGCCCTCCAGGCACAGCAGCAGCGGCGGCAGCACGTCCAGCAGCACATCGAAGGCGTTGTGCTGACCCGTCCACCCCGGGCCGCAGGCCTGGGTCAGGGCGGTTCCCTTCTCCTCGTTCTTCTGGTAGTGACCCAGGATCGCTTTCTCCAGCTCGGCCCGAGACAACGGGCATTGGAAGAAAGCGCCGATCCTCCTCAGCGTCTCCATGACGACCTGGACGCTGGGGAAAGGGAGGTTGTTGGCCAGGTGGATGTTCAGCGCCGTGTGGGAGCAGGGCATGTGCAGGGCCAGCGGGTACTTCTCCATCAGCAGCACGGCCACGGCCTTCATCTTGGTGGTGGAGCTGCCGGTGGCCTTGTGGGCCTGGCCGCGGCAGTCCTCCATGCTGAGCCCCCAGCGCTCCGTCAGCTGGGCCTCCAGCCTCTCCACCAGCCCCGATTCCTCCCCATCCCCAAACGGAAGAAAGTCCAAAAACTCCTCTCGGAGAATGTTTTTCTGATTCACGAAGCGCAAAAAAAGAGGGAGGAGTTTCTCGCCGGAGAACTCGATGAGGTCACCCGTAACCAGGGAGAAAAACCGACTCTCCCTCACCTCCATCAGCATCTCCTCCCTCACCGTGTTCTCACAGACGTCCAGCAGCTGGCTCTGCTGGGCTGCAGACAGGTACTCTGAGTTGACGGCTGTCGCCTCGAAACGCTTCCTCAGAGCCTCATCCCCGGCATTCATGCAGTAATCTAGAAGGGCCTGGAAGTTGTTGGACTTAAACTCTGTGTCGGATATCCTGTCGGGTGCTAAAGCGATGCCCTGTTTCGCCAACATGACCAGAATTTCAAACAAGGATTTCAGGTAATCGCGGTACTCCTTCTCTTCTGTGGACAGCTGGGGTTCGTCGTCGGTGGTGTTTGTGCCGTCTTCATCTGCTTTGGTGGCGAGCTTTGCAGCAGAAGATGCCACTGAGAAGAAGAACAAAACAAAACCGGAACACAGGCTGTTCTAAGTAAATGGATACAGAGTAAAATTAATATTCAATTGACCAAATATTTCCAAATTACTCACATCTTCGTTCTTTCATCTTCCTTATGTCTTCCTCAGTCTGAAATTAAAAGTTGACATTATGCAGAAAAGTAGAAAAAAGAGAAACATGAAATGTCATCTAAAGAGTCAGTAGGATTTATTTTTCTTACAAGTTCTTTAATTCGTTTGCGATGTCTGGTGTGAGGATTTTTTAGATGGCTTGTGAGATCAAATATAGTTGGGATCGCTGTGTCTTTCAACACGGTCCTGTAGGGGCTCTGAAAGACAAAACAGTAATCTGCTTCACTCAGAAGGCACACACTTTTCTTCCAAATGTGTGCACATTTGAACATGTCAAAGAGCTCGATGGAATAAAGCGATACTCACAGTTTTGCACACCATGGCTGGGTCAAAATGTTTGGCACATAATCTGTAATGCTTATTCAGCTGATCAGATGTTTTGGCCTCCAGATCTGCCCTGCGGCAGTTCTCTACCCAGATCCTACATCTAGAAGAATAAATGAGAAGCACGCAACCTGGCTTTATTTAACATGTATGAAACTGCTACAGATTACCGACAGGTAACAAATAGTTGCAGATGACAGCGTTCATTACTACTTTATTACTTCCTTTCTACCCAAGACAAATGTATCTCAACTTCCCTTGACATAGAGGTGTAAAATATTGTCTTTCTATGGCTATATTCAATATTACAGTGATATTTTCAGGAAGAGTCCGCAGTGATTTAGAAAAGTCTCAGCATAGTCACCAATCTTCCAAAAACTATTGTTTATGCGCATATGGTCATACATTAGAGTAAAAATATTGCCTTACGGATATACTCAAATAAATTAAACAAAACATGAAAACAATTGCTGTGGTTAGTCATGAATACTCAACTTCCACAAGGAAATCATCCGGAAGTTCCTGAACCTGAGGAAACGTAAGCCTTACCTCTCTGGGTCCCGTGGAAAGCGGAAAAAAGCCAAATCTGACTGGGTGCTCTTCCGTGTACAATTCGGAGCCGCGCAAAAATTCGGCATGCTTCGGACCTCGTAGTTAGCTTAGCTAACTCACCTAGCTAATATCATCTGTTAACTTGGGCGATTCCTTCTCTGAAGTGATTTCGACGTTATTTATGGCCTCGACAAAAAATAAAACATACACAAATGTCTAATAATTGTTTAGTAAAGAATTAACCCAGTCAAAATATACACTTACAAAAAATAATCAACGGTTGAATGTTGTCTACTACGTTTTGCAACCTGATGTCCCGCCCACGACGTATCTGATTGGACCTACGTCAACTTCGACATATCACTATTGGTCACGACATTTACTCTGTAAACCAGTCAAATGACAGCTCATCATGTTTTCTTCGTAATCCTAAAATGTAGTCACTGCAATGTATTAGGGCACACTACTGCCACCTATTGACCAATTCATTGCACTGGCGTAGCCACAATCAGTTACCAGGTAGGCTATTTGCATCGACATATATATGTCTATATATACATATAATATACATATAATATGTCTTTAGGCCATTTGCCCCTTGTAACGTGCCAACATTCATCAATCCTTGTCTTAATGAAACCTTTACCACCGGAAAAAACCGTCTGTCAAGGTGCTCCTGAATATTATGTACCATGACGGCCGACGCTCATACGTGGCTCGTTGGTCTAGGGGTATGATTCTCGCTTAGGGTGCGAGAGGTCCCGGGTTCAAATCCCGGACGAGCCCTCCTTTTTTTGCACAGGTCGGTGGTATTTCATGTTAGCCAGAGAGAATGACATTGACCAAAAAAAACATTTAAATCTCTAAAAAAGTCAGAGACTTTTAACTATAGTTGGATCCAATAATCTGCTTTATAATACTATGAAGAAACTTGAGTGCATCGATTTCGACATGAATATATATTTGTCAATAAATCTATGACCATAGATCACAGGATATATGGCTATTCGGTAAAAAAGCATTTGGGCTCGTCCGGGATTTGAACCCGGGACCTCTCGCACCCGAAGCGAGAATCATACCCCTAGACCAACGAGCCGGGGCATCAACATGGGCAGCTGCGTGTTTTATAAAAGGTCTTAACCCTGTATTCTCTTTGTTCTCACTTCCCTGAAAGAGACTTGTTCAACACATGTTCATGTCGATAGTAAAAGAAACAATAAAGACACACAGAACATTTCAGTTAACTTCTTTTTATATATCATACATAAGACTGTCTTAATATAATACAAAGGGCATTGTCATAAACACAGCAAAGTCTTGACTAGATCTTACAATCTGTGGATACATGGACTTATCCTTTCCCCCATGCTGTTCAATTCTATAGTGCATGTTGCATGTACAAAAAAAGTGAAAAAATGTGAAATAAAAAATGAAAAGGATCAATCCAAATTAAATAAAAGGATTTCAACTTCTGCTGGGTGTTTAGATATGTCAACAAGTATATGTGTTTGTGTGTAACCCACAAACTCACCAGGTTTATGAAAGATGGAACCATTTTTCAACCATGTGCTTCTCATATAACCAAAAAGTAAGGTTTGTGATGTACATGCACTTACAATATACCCTGTGAAAATTATTAAGGTTTGAAGATCTAGCTTTCCCTGTTTGATTCAAACCCTACCTCATAGTGTTGTCCTGATGTAGTCAAGTACCTTTGCCAAAAGGCAAGGTTTTGCCACTAAGAAAACAGGAGTTCCTGCCCACTGAATGGTCACCAAATTGACAAACATAATCAACATACCAGCAGGAGCAAGGTAGTGAGTTCTATACTTCCTTTATTAAAAAAATATAAATATATACATAAATTCTATTTCAACTATTAAAAAGGGGCTGCATTTCATGACAACTGCTCTAAATAAGAGGTCAATCAGCATGATCTGAAATAGGCGCACACTTACGAGTCACTGCAGTCAAATTTTTTTCTTTTTCAGTCTTTATTTTTGGAATGTTTAGTACCAGTATGAGAGCCAGTAACAAAACCACTGACAAGTTCTAAATGTCTCAAATTCAGCGGGGTATGAAAAATGATTGCAAATTTGCAATTAACCTTGACATCCAGATAAAACCCCAATCTCAATATAGGTAGCTTTACATTTGTGTTTGTGGAAATACCAAGTATGACTGCTTACGATGGTTTCTCCTACAAAATGACAACAGCATGACCCATGACCTGCCCTCAGGTTGCGAGGTGGTTGTGGGCAGGTTTTCTTTTTTTTCCTTTATTTTTTCCTCTAATTTCAAAGCTGGTAAAATGAGCAACAGAAGAAAGAAAGCACTTCAAAATCCCTGATATAAAAAGAAAAGAAACATCTGGTAACTGACTAATGTTTTAAAGACATGCATGTCTGCCTAGGCAAAGCAATATGATTGTGGGCTGACACCCTTTCCCTTTGAATAGGACAACAATCGTGGGGATCTGACCTACCAAATCAGGACTATATCATTCAACACAAACTGATTTGCCACATTTATCCTTACCCTGGCAAGAAAATGACAAAGTCTTGCTTCACGGCAGGAACTAGCCAAGTTGACCAAATGATGTATGAAAGGCAGCAACACCCTTTGAAATAGTATGATGGGGGCAAAAGAAAAACGACGACACAGAAATAGAACGCATTAGTCTCCTTTTTTTGTTGTTTTTTTTTTGTTTTAAACCATCAGCCTCTATCTTGCTACTCCGGAGCCTGCAGAGTAACTACCAAATTCTATAACATACCAAAGTTTTAAAAGACTCCCAAAATAATCTACCAATTAATATGGAAACAGTTTTGGTAAAACGTTGCAAACAAATCTGGCCAGAATACACAATAGCCAACGGTCTCGACAACGGTCTCCAGTTTTGCTAAAGTAATATATTGCAGCTGTTTGTGTTGACGTTAAAATAAGATCTTAATAAACTTTGCGTCAAAGTGGTGAACTGCTACATTATTGGTTACAGACACCTATATGCTATAAAACAACTGCTTTGGTATAAAAACATATCCAAAGGGAAAATAAATTCTTGTAAAATTCACAGCATAATTTGAGGAGAAAAAAGGCAGTCACTTAACTCATTTTTTTCTTCAGTTTCCATGTTTTGGATGGAGAAACTTGTGCAGGTGGTTCTGATGAGGAACTACATGCAAAAGGGGGGGGAAAAAAAAAACCCAAAACAAAACATAAAAGGGTAGACTCTGGAATAGATAGTTCTTTCCACTGCAAAATCCTTAACCAGTGAATTTCAAGGAAGTAATGTTTAGGAGGTTGTTGTGTACAATAAGACCCTGTTATGTGGGGCCCTGCTGAAGACGAAATCTTTGTCGAGAAAGGCCTCAAATTACCATTCTTATTTACCTTTTCTAAGTTGTTTTAATTTCCTTAAAGAATTAAGGGCTGTCTAGAGACAAAAATAGAGAAAAGCCATCTTAATTCAAATGATAATGTCCAGCTCCATCCCATTCCAAGTCCATGAGTCATAAGGCCAAAGGGTTATCTAGAACCAGCCACTGACTGTCTTCCGTTCGCTGGGCTGGATCCTTCCGTCTCCCATGCCCATCGCTGCTCTCGTCTGTGCCGGGCCCAGTAGCAGCTTGCGGGACTACGGGGCCTCTAGGCCTGAGGGGTGGTGCTTCCCTCTCCTTTCGCCCGATCGGTGTCAGTATCCACCTGCGGGGTCTTCTCTCCACCCGGCAAGCACACGCGTAGGGACTCCACTGCTATGTGCTCCCCTTTGACAAGAGTCACACAATACCGACCGACAACAAGAAATATCACCGCAAAGACTTCCCCTCATTGTCAAGCTACAGGATTTACAAGCAGCTTTTATGTGAAATTTCACTTTAAAAAAAGGGTAAAAATAATTAACAACCAGTGGAACAGTAATGTCAGGCAATCCGCGGTTGGAACCGTGAGAGGACGCCGAGCATTTCTTCACCAACAGCTAGCTGCGAAGCAGCTTCAAACTCTGCTCTGAAATGCTCCTGAAAAGATTTTGCCACATAATACCATATGGTGATTATTTGGTGGTTACATGAAACTGGTGAAATGGTAAGATGGATGTCTCAATCTCACTATGGTTATTCCGCAGTATTATTTTGTGCCTAATGATTGCAAAAGAAATGATGAAAATTACATATATACTTTTTAACAAAGGTTTTTCTCTGTAGTAGCGGTTCAGTGATATCTCCCTTCTGACGTGAGCAGCTTTTGTTCTCAACACACCTTGTAGTAAAAAACACCACCTTAAAAATGACGCACAGGGGGAACACACAGCCAAATGTCAGTGCAGTCACGAGCTGGCCATAGAACTCTGCTGCACACACACTCCAGTCATTGGAGACTCCTCCCGGTCCATGCCTTGCCTCATGGCTAGGTGGCCTTCGGCTAGGTAGTGGGCAGGCCCCGTGTTCGTGCCCATGGAGAATGCAGGGTGCGCTGCCATGCCAGTCTCCTGCCGTGGGTTCGAGAAGGCACCTAGCCCCATGCTCAGCCCACCATTCTGACCAAAGTCAAGGGCTCCAGCAGGCAAATGGCGGAGCTGGTAGGCCTGGTTGCCATGGTTCCCAGTGGAAGAGGACGATGTAGAGGAAGAGGAGGCGGAGGAAGACAGGGAGGTCATGGACAGATGGCCATGAACCACCTCCATGGAGTCCTGGGTGGAGGAGCTGTGTGTCGGGGAGGTGTAGTGGCGTGGGCGTGGACGCGTGGCCATCATCTGCCCGTGGTGGTGATGAGTATGTGAATGAGGATGCAGGGCCTTAGGGTGCTGAGGGGGAACATGGAAGGTGGTCTCCTGGACTGGGTGGGTCTCTCCAGTGACAGCCTCTGGTCCAACCCCACCTCCCCACACCAGTGGGGGGGGGTAAGGCTGTCTCGCCTGTCAAGCAAACACATGACTCCGATATGAAAAAGGAATTTGTATTTGTCATGCAACAAAGTAATCTCGATGAATGTCCTGACTGTAAGAGTTCACAATTCAACAAAAATCTACAGATGCAGACACCAAAATCTATACAATAAGCAATTTAAAGGTTGAATTTACTGACTAGTGAGATTTTCACCTAACAAAAAGGAGGCAATTTCTTTTTTCTAACAAAACAAATAACATTTGAATTCCCAAACATAATTCTATTTAGTGTCAGGACAAACTTCCTTCGCAGGAACTCGCTGACCTGTGGACAGAGGGTGTCACCATCTATGGCAGGCATGGTCGTGCCAAAGTGTCCTCCACTGTGCAAGTGGTGATGAGTTGGGTCTGATCTTGCTCTGCCACTGGTACTTG